AAAAAAAAAAAAAAAAAATGAAAAAAACAAGCACTGTTAAAATTTTTAAAATTCTTACTTTATATTTATTTATATGTAAAAATGTAAATATACGTAAAAATTTGACGAATATATATAACGAAGAGCGATATTCTTTTAAACGTTTTCCTAATTTTTTACATTTCAAATGTGCATTATACTTCTCTCATATGAGTAAGAAGAACTCGTTCAATAAGTTACCTTCTACACCGACGATAGACGTTGTCTATAGAAATGAGTATGTAGATTCAAATGTAGCATAAGATAAAAAGATTTTTCAGAGATGGTAGTTCCATACTCGAGCGGTACTTTTGTTCTGCGGTACATAGAGCTTTTAAACTGGTTGTCCCAGTTCTTCCTGAATTTTAATTCTAAAATATTCCACTACTTATACTTTTTCTATCCGGTCTTACTTTTATTGCAATTATTTTCTCTCTTTGTTGAATAAATTAAGGAATAAGAAAATATTGATCGCGCACGCGAAACGTAAACTAAAGGCTAATTGGTTTAATAAGATTAAAATAATTTAGATAAATCTATAACGATGATAATAATTTGAATTTAAATCTAGTTAAGCATTTTCAAAGAGTAAAATAAAAATATAAATCGAATTAGATATATGTTTTTAATAAAAAAAAGAATGATATTATGTAATTGATTCATTATTTTCTAAAAGATTTTTTCACTATATATTTATATCCGATCTTATCTATCTATATCTTATCTATTTGATTTGTTTTTGACAACTCATTAACTTGTTCCTTTTCAATCATTGATAATTGTAATACGATTTTCTTCCCAAGGAAGCCGATCAAAGGATATTAAGATCATGTTTCTCATATACATAAACGTAGATTATTTGGACATAGTACAGTTAACGAGGTGACCGCATCGGGTAATACAGTTGACTTACGTTGTGACCGTACTGTGATCTTGCATTTGTGCCTAATCAGTAACTGAGATTAGTTTCAAAGGACTTACCGTTGATATCAAACACTCCTAAATGGATCTAGGATTTATACTCAAATGATATATTAGTACATCTTGCTACCGAAATAATATTCCATAATCATTTTCATTTACAAATCGTATGAAAAATATTCTATAATAATGAGAAAATAAATTAATCATAATGCACGAATATTATATTTTTATTAATCATTTTCGGAACGATATAATGTATATTCTATCATTTGTTAATTTAATCAATTTTTATCATGTGATATTTTGAAATCGATATATACAAGTCGTCAAACGCACGGATGAATCTTTAACCTCATCAGTTTTTACAGAAGATTTGTTCGAATCGTGTCGAGTATCAAATGGAAAATGCAAGTCAGTTGGCCAATCCATTAAAACCATTTCATTGAAGGAGACTTGCTGTGTAACGTTTATAACTCGGCTGACTTGCATTACGTCAG